ACTTCCCAGGACTGGATGTTGGTTAAACTGTCACAGTTGAATCAGTGCAAGATACCATTAAAATGAACATTGACACAGCCCAGTTTCCAACTCTGTTACTGGCATTATTTCTTCTAGATCCAGTAGTCAAATTCATGATTATACAGGTTTTATATCCCCCCAAAAATTAGAAGGAATGGGAAAACCCAACTGAATAAATGTAGTAAATAGTATGTATTTGACATGGACTCAAACACTTATGCGTATTTGCTGTTACAGGCTCATTTGTCACTGAAGGTGTGTTATTCAGTGGCACAAACTTCAAACACAGACTCATGTCTGTATCACATGCAGTTGGGCCACGGGGTGAGAACTGGAAGTGTGTCATTGCGTGTGTGTGTGTGTGTTAGCCCCATTTGCCAGGTGTTGGGTTTGTCATTGGTCGAGCGGACTCAGGACACTTATCAGTGAAGTAACACACCCACACCTGTGAAATGGCCTGCCTGAGGCACACACCCAACCAAATAAGAGCTATGACATAATAGATGCAATGCACATCTGTCAATCATGACCTCAAACCACAAAAGCCATGTCACTCACCCTCTCACGGCAGCTCCCCCTTCTCTGAGGCCAGTAGATTATCTGCCTATCTGGTTACAAGCCTTCTCACCTCTCCGTAACTAATTGGTTAGTCTGCCTATCAATCATCATGAGCCTCATGATAACTTAAAGTGAAAAGCACCAAGTGAAAAACAATCAACATTTATGGAGGACTGCCCCCCCCCCACTCCACCCAAAAAGTAAGTATTCTTGTCCTTCTTTTTACCCCTGCATGTTTCATATCAGGGTGAAAAAATCATATAATGGCAGAAATGACTTACAGAGATCCCCTGACACACAGCAAAGATATATATCACTGTTTCTGCCCAGAGAGTTAAGACTTGGCTTCTATACATCATAAACACAGGCATTCAACTTAAACTGCATGGAGAAAAAACACTGTTTTTCCTCTACTGTGTATCAGAGGTGACATAGGTATATATGCAGATACACTCTGAACTACATTTTCAGTAGTCCATAAAACAAATTAAAAGCCCTGTACATGAGAAAAAGTGAACGTTAAGACTGGCCTGTTTCACACCAGGTGTCAAAGGTCTAAACAGCCAAATGGCCTGGGCGCACGTCCAACCAGATGTTATCAACATGAACCATACTGAAGACATTTACACGGCCTTTCTTGAGACAGACCCAGAGTCTGGGAGCAATGACTAAGCAGGCTTTGTGTTTAGATATATCCCAAAGTCTTTATTGTACTTTTAGGTATTATACTTAGAGTTTTCCAGGGTAACTTATCGTAAATAGGCAGGTAGTTTGGTTCAAAAACATATTGTCAACCAAAGACATTGTGCAGCTCATTGAAAGTGAGTCATATCGAGGCCTGGGATAAACCAGCATCAATTCTGACTGCACTGTGGTAAAACAAAGACATTATCTTTTCGCCAACCATTCTATCCAGAAGACTAATCTGTTACCCTCAGGATTTGAGGATGCGGTGAATTAAAGAAGAGCAGAGGGAATTGTTCGCAGAGTCCGTAAGCAGAGCTGTGGGCAAGCTCAGCCCCAGCTGTATAAAAACCAGAGCTCCACAGCTGCTGAAAGAGACAGATAAGTAAAACAAAAAGGCCAGCTGTGCTCAAAACAAGAGAATGAGATAGCTGTGAAGGAGTGTGTAGGCACATATGTTTAAGAACACAGTGTTTTTGTTGTTGTTGTTTTGCTTATGAGCGAGGCTTCCTGATGGTGAAATGGATGTGTGTGTGTGTGTGTGTGTGTGTGTGTATACTAAAATATTTGTCTCAGCAAAGCAAATGATAACAGCAAAGAGTGAGTTAGTTTGTGTGTGAAAATACACTTTTTGCCAGCACTTTCTCATAAGGAGACAGAGGGAAGAAGAGAAAATAATGACTAAGAAAGACAATTCATGAAGAGAACAGCAACACCCAGTTCTTGTCCACACACACACCTACACACATTCAGCTTTTTTAGCTCTTGCAAGTTCTCTTGAGTATCAGTTCTTTCCTTTAGGGTGTTGCATTGGAAAATTACAACCTTTCCAGGAACGTTATACCAGTTTAAATGCATCCTGTCTCTTAGATGTAGTCCACAAAATGTAGGTGTCTTTTCCATCTGTCTGTGCATTCTTAGTTACGTATTGGAAAGTTTATCTTAAAGGCTGTCTTACACAATAACTGTCATACTGACACTGAAATAACTCAGTATATTGTCAAAGAGCAGCTAGTACTGTGGAACAGACTGAGAATCAACATACTGCAGCTCTACTTGTTTTTAGCTAAATATTGTATTCCCTGACCAGTAGACTGTAGATTATGTCTCACCATTCTCATCAACCCTAAAAACAGTAAATACACATAAAACAGTAGTCAGAAGAGCAACATCAGTGAGCTGCTAGTGTTGATCTGTGCCTGCCTGATGAGTAGGCTCAGTTATTTATTGGAAGCTATTGGAAGACTCATTTGGTTAAAAAAAGGTTTATGCAACTTTTGATGCTCATTTTAAGCTTTTAATTATTTTCTCATATTTTCATCTCGGTGTCCCTCAGTGCTATATAGTAAATACCCATTAGATTTTATGTCATTTATTATTTCTTTATTTATGTAGCCAATTAATCTCAATTCAGAACTTGAACTGATTCAGTTGAAGTCATTTTACAGCCGATGCTCTTCACCGTCAAACCACACCAGCCTAGTAAATTAAGATTTTGTCTTGGGTCACTGAGTGTGTCTCTCTGGCCAGTAGAGGGTGAGTAGACGGTTGCAGGAGACCTCTGACTCATGCACTTAGCACATGGACAAGGGTCCCCATGCAATGTCAAAGGAGTTGTGTTAGGAGAGGGGGGAATGCAGGTGGTTAGATTCTCATTGACAGAGATCTAAATCTGCACGCCACACACACACACACACAGCCAGTCAGGAGACGATCCCTGTGATGAAATAATCTTTCAGAGTGCTACTTCTAGTGACTGAGTGGTTTCTGTTGCGTAAATGACCCAAGTCTTTCATGTCTACGCACACACAAACACATTAGTGAGCACACACATTCAAACACACAGCCTCTCACTGAACCCCTGAGGCCAGATATCACAGTCCTTGCCACTGAAACTAATAAAGCACTTCCTGCATCAGCTACTCTATTCTGTGTGTATGTGTGCCTACAAAAAGTAGGTCTTCTGTGGATGAATTCTCCAGATAATAGTGTGGTGAGCGAGGGTCACGGTGGTCTGTTTGTCTATTTATTACTACACTTCCAGTAGAGAACTCACAGCTGGGACTGAGGTCAGAAAGAAAAGAAAAAGCTACAGAAAGTTATGAGACAAGCAACCTTGTACTTCAGTAGACACAATGTCTACAAGACACCTGGTACACACATGCACCCATTTCCTTAGACACAACCATATACTTACATGTATATGATGGAAAACGTTAAAGCCAAGACAAAAAATAGCAACTGCCCGTCAGGAATGAATGGAGGTAAAATAACATTTCGGAATAAAATAAACTGAAACAGCACATCCTTGATTGTTGCACAAGCACATATATAAACCCACACACTGATACACACACAGATACAGAACAGTGTCTGCTCTCAGGAGTATGACAGTCTCCAGCAGTCCAGACAGGGGTCTGTGAGACTGTGCAGCCGACAGTCGCTCCTATCTCCCCTGATGAAGTGGCCTGGCCTGGTGTGACACTAGCCAGGTCTCCCTGCCTTTTCTCTGTCTGCCGCCCCCTCACACACCTCCACCTCTCTCCATGTTATCCCCCAGAAAAGCAAACACAATTTCTCCTTCAAGGTAGATGGGTAACTTATCAAAACAAAGCGTTCCAACATTTTAACTCGAGTCACTTGTAAAGGCAATATCCAGTATAGTAATGTGACATTTGTGCTCTGCTGAGATTTACATACCCAGTGATGTCAGTGTTGTGTAACATGTTGTTGGTACAAGCAGGAAAGAGACACAGCAGTTTCCCTCCTCTTCCCATATGGGATACTGTACAACAGATGCACATCTTCTTTACCTAGTTTCTTCTGCTCTGCTTGCCATGTGGAAAACTGATTACTGAATAAATCGCAGCTGAGAGAGATAAGCCCCTTTCACACATGGAGCCAATCATACTGCTGAATTTATATATACAGTTAAGGTTGCGCTTTCTGTTTATATAGGTCCCCACTTTGTGCCAAAAGGTATAAGTCTCCTCCCATGTATCATAACCGTTCCAGGTAGATGAACCTCTTCTCCTGCTTGCCAAAAGTGGAAGCAAATTAGAAGATTGGGGCAAGCAGAGAAATAAAGAAATAACAAGAGGCTCCATGTTTTGGATACTAGATCAGAGAATGTTGCTGTTTTTGTTCTCAATAAAATTGTGGCAAGTCTTTTTGAAATGTCTTTTCACCTGGAAATGTTAACTTGTTAGAGCTTATACAGAAAGTAAACTCCTGCGACTAATATTCCCACATGAAGCCAAACATGAAAACTTTCCAGAGTATTTAAATGTTGAGGTGCAGTTGCTCTGGGAAATTCTTCCTAGAAAGCAAACTACTTCTCAATAACGCACAAGAAAGTGGTAATATACTCCTAAACTTTAACAACAGTCTGACATCAGTGCATATATGGTAATTTCTACAAAAATCTGCATTTTGTCCATATGGCGACCCAGGTTTTCTGTGCACAGGCAAGGAAACAGGCAGACATCTCTGCTTTCCTCCTACATCATTAGACAAGGATGAAGAGATAAAGAGGAATGGATGAGCCACCATCTGTACAATACAAAACAGCTCTGGGATTTAGGATGGAACACACACACATACACTATACACATAGTCACACTGTTTGCAAGCGCAGACACACTCGCTCATTGAAAATTTGAGATAAATGAACACTATTAGCTTCAGAGGGATACAAACAGAACTTCCAGACTGAAATCCCCACTCTTAGCTCCTACCTCCACTCTAGTAGAGTCCACTCTTCAGTCCTTTGAGAAAGTCAGCTGCAGTGGAGCGGTTTTTCTTTCGTATCCTTTCCTTTTTGTCTTTCTGTGACTCCACGCCTTCATATGTCAGGCATGTGTTTGCATTCTCACATATGTGAGCTCCAGTGTGGCGAAGGCCAGAGCCAGAGACACAGATGGCACCCAGATGGAGACAGATAACCAAGCAGACCAGCGCAATGTTGCACTACACGCTCTCTCTTGCTTTCTTACTTTCTTTGTCTTCGCTGTTCCTCTTTCTTTTGTGAAGCTCTCTAAATTTCCCTTGCGATCTCTTTCACTTAATCTGCCTCCACTGTTGTACTTATGTCTTTAACTCTCCCTTTCTCTCACTGAATTTGCATCCTCTCTCATGCTCGCTCTCTCAAGCTCTGAGCCTCCCACTTTTTCAATCTCTCTCTTTTGGCTCTAGCTCCTCCCCTGTTTTCCCACACACTGTTCTCCCCTCTGTTTGCTCTGACAACGTCACAGTCCCCATCCCCCGAGCCCCCCTCCCCAACCATTACCCCATGGGGGGGGCTTGATGGCGGAGGTTCTTTGCAACCCTACCCCCTCCGCCTCTCCCCTTTAAAGAGAAGTGGGGATCTCCTTTTAAAATCTTTTTATACTAACCACCCCCTTCTAGCCTCTTTCAATGATGTCCTCTTTTGTCTCAGCTCCTTAATGCAGCAGACTCAGCCCTTTCTCGCCAGTCAACCCATCGGGGGACTCTTCAGTAGCATGAATGAGTTATTCATCTCTCCTCTTCTACTCTCTTGTCCTCAGTGCTCCATCTTCACTGAGTTAAACTTAAATCGCTGTCTGATTTATGCCTGGCCTCATGCACAAGTGGTACTGTAGAGACAATGCAGGGTAAGATAATGGAGCCTGGCTGAGACTGGGCAGCCGGTGCACTTTATTCACTCCTACCTATTATTCTCCCAATCACTTTACTTCTAGAAAGCACACGGAGCTAAGGCTGGAGTAAATACGACATTAATCTGACTTTAATTAGACAACTGACAATTGAGAGAACATGAGCAACGTGTGACTTCAACATGTAAACAAACAAGCAAATGTTGCACAAACAATTCATTAGGAGAAGGTGTTGCCCCTTTTCTTGCTATCATGTAACAGCTCTGAATAACTTAAGGTGTAATGCAATCAAAATGGGCACGTTTTTTTTTTCTGGCCTTGGTGAACACAGGTGAAATCCACACTGATATGATAACTTACTGATTGTATGTGATGACAAAATGGTTATTGTGGGTTATTTTAATGCCAGAGATTGTCAAAAACTACATTTGACTGAATAATTGTCCATAATAACCTCTTTCTCCCCTCCTCTCTCCTTTTGGCCTGCTCTATTCAGGGTGCATCTGGTCAGCCAGCAGGCTCAGAGGCAGGCCAGGTGGCTATGAGAGAGCAAGAGAGGGAGGGGGTGGATAGATGAAGAAATGAGGAAGGCCTAGCATCTGAAGCTGCAACCCACTGCTATTATAGCACACACAAATTGCAACTGACACTACTGGACAATGGCGAACATGCATTTGCACCCAGCTGTAATGACTGGCAGGTGGCAGATGAGTGAGCACACTCATTAGAGTCTTCTGTCACCTTTCACTTAAGTTACCATAGACCTGCACCACCATCCCTACAGGTGACATCATATCTAAAGTTTACCTGACCTTTAATGTCTAACAACAGTTTTTAGGGAATTCAAGGTTTCTGAACAGCAGGCCAATATGAAAAAGGAATTAAAGAGATCATATGTACAATATATCAGTATGGTAGGTCATATCACTTTAACCAACCAAGGAATTCATTCATTGCTCAGTTCAGAAACTGATTAATTAAAACTGATTTCCAAAATTATCCTCAGTAACTTTGTGCTGCAAGCTTAGTAGTAGTAGTAGTTGCTGGTGTATGTGTGTGTGCCTGGTATTACTCATGACATGGGATGTAAATTTGTGACACAGTGTCCCCACTGTGACACTGTGGACACTTGGCATCCTTATGGTGACAAAAAAAACAAGTCCTCAAAAAGTAAATTGTTACATTTTAGAGCTATGACTTGGTTTACAGTTAGAATTAGTTTAGACTAATTAGATTAGAATCAGGTTAGTCTACAGGAACAACTGCAATCAATAATTACTTGCCATATCAATCAATCAATTAATATTTTGAATAATTTGTGTTTAGTCTAAAATGTCAAAAATACCAGACTAATCCTACAACAATTGTTAAAATGGAGTAAGAAAATATTCCCAGAAGATGCAACAAGCTTGTACAACAGTTACCCTTGAAGGAAAGTCAAAAAAGTGGGTGTCCTTTTTTGATTAAAAAGCAGAAGTCACTACAAAAAGTGTCAGCATGCTATACAGTATGCAGGCATACTGTATGGGTTTCTTTTACTGTGGCTGCACAAGCCTCAAGCAGCTGTTTCCCATTGTGTGCATGTGTGTGAGATAAAGAGAGAGAGGGAACGAAAGAACAAGAGAGTATGCAGCATCTGTTTCTGTTCACATGATCTCTCGCCAAACTTCCACTTTTAGAAAAAGTAAACAGCATATTTTAGTGGACAGAAAAAAATGAAAGAAGGAGAAGAGGGAATGGGGAATTTTAGGACTTAGTGACTGAATAAAGATAGGAATCACTAAAGTCTGAGCATGGTTTTTTTTTATATGTCCGCATATAAAACCACAGTTTGAAAAAACTAAATAAAGGTTTAATGTACTGACTCTTAATTTAAATGCATTCACATTTCTTTTTCAATTGTGGTTGAGCTTAAAAATATTTTCCAAATATTGCTCAATGCTATTCAGTGTCTTTTTACATACATATACTTGGTCATGTAAAAAGTATAGAGGCCTTAGCCATATTATATTTCACACACCAATAAAAGAACTTTGTAACTGACAACACACTCCATCTACCTTTAATGGTCTTGAAACTACTGAATCACTGGATGTGTGCATCTGTGTGAAAACTGTTTTCCTAAGTGCCATTAACATGACATTAGATGCTGATCCTGTCTATTGTTGCATGGATGGCATACAGAAGCAGTACAAATGGAGAGAATGGGAGACTGCATTTGACTGTATAAGGCAGTGTTCAGACTGAGTTGAAAAGGTATGGAAAAAATGCAGCATCTAATGTCATGTTAATGGCACTTAGGAAAACAGTTTTCACACAGATGCACACATCCAGTAATTCAGTAGTTTAAAGACCATTAAAGGTAGATGGAGTGTGTTGTCAGTGGTCTTGTGACATTAGATGCTGATCCTGTCTATTGCTGCATGGATGGCATAAAGAAGCAGTACAAATGGAGAGAATGGGAGACTGCATTTGACTGTATAAGGCAGTGTTCAGACTGAGTTGAAAAGGTATGGAAAATATGCAGCCTTCTCCATTTATTTCTATGGGGGACTGAGTTTACCACAGCTGGCACCAGCACCGTGCGCTGAAAAAGTTGGATACCAAAATCCAACTTTTACTGCACCCAGACAGTGACATCATCCGGTAAAGGCACTGCACTGACCAATCGTGTACGGGGGACAGTCAGACAGTCAGCATGCGGTTAGCATGCTGTCTTCCACGCTGACAGTCTCTGTGCTGTGGATTGCATTGTTTACGTTGGGTCTTTTTGTTCACCTGTCCGTTCTCATCCTCCTGCTATTCTAGTTCCTGTCTTTAGTTTGCGTGTTTACTGTCCTGGTCTCCTTAGTCATCACTGCCCTTCCCTTGTATGTATTATGGACCCTGTTATGTTGTCATGTTGTTTTTATTCCATTAAACCACCTTTTTTGTACTAGCACCTGGGTCAGCCATCTTGAGTCCAACCCCAGTTCTCCCTCACCCACCTGGTGAGGGGGACTAAACCATAACAAAACTCCTCTGTTTACCTTGTTAGTGTGAGCATTCACTGCTGCTTGCTCTCAAATTTGGGCTACAGTTGACGCCATGCGCTAGTTAGGGTACTGGATAATGTTTTTTATCTATCACTACTGACACACTGGTGATAGAAATTGGTGCTAAGGTAGAATAGGCTATGTTAGCAGGATGGCTAACCAAAGGACAACAGAAACTTGTGGGCTGGAAACATGAATGAAACCACTCTTATCAGCTTGCCACAATGTGGTGTGTACACACCTACAACACTCCCCCCTGCAACACCCAGGCCCACCCCCCATCTCCACCCAATGCAGCCCCTTGCAAGAAAACACAGCAGGCAGCTGCATTTTACCGCAATCAGTCTGACGGCCTGCTAAGGGGATTGAAGGCCAAACTCCATTTTAACTGGATAGCTGGGCTTTCACACCAACAACAGGAATACATCAGAATAACAAAAGAGGGTTCTACTGCTCTGGGCATGTTGCAACAAGGAATGGTAAAATAAAGTTAGAACACCAAAACGTTTAAAGGCTTAGCAAAGACAGAGACACTAGATTGATGGTTTGCACTCCTTTGGGGCAGAATAAATGACAGCAGCAACAAGTTTGGAGGAACCTTTTCCATTTCTGGTTGACCAAAAAACTGCAGCTACAAGAGCTAGTAGAGCCAGCCAACAGATCAAGCCAATAGAAAACAGGTTCAGGAGAAATGGATCCTATATCTTTTAAGGACATCCCAATTAATGCTTAACATTTTCATCAACTAGCTTCTAGTGTAGCTAGCATCAGGGGGGAAATAGGGAAATGTGAGATATCGTGATGGAACAAGGTCTCTAGGGCTGCAGACATCATCAGTGCCTCTGGGTGTTGAAGGAAACAGAAAAACTTTCTTCAGCACACACTGTGCAACTGGAATCACATTTATTTTTACAAGGCAATACAAATCACACATGGTGAGAGCATTTTGTTCTCAGCACTCACTGAGGACTTTAAAAGGGTACTCTGAGTGATGGGATTTCACTGGGAGTGTTGGTGCCAAATCAGTGTGAAATGATGACAGAGATTTTCATAAGCTGAAAAAAACAACTTTGGTGCCACTTTGTATTCTTTTCCCAGCCAGGGCTTCCTACAGTCAGAAGCTTTCCCACTTCACACTGTGTTAAAGTCATTCACTGTGAGATGAAGTGCATGTGGTGGATGTGTCTGTGATGTGAATGTGCCCTTATCAGTTATCAAGCTTGTTTATTACCATATGGTGTGGAAAGTGAGCCAAAACAGCTCATTCTTTGGCCCAACTCCCACCAGCCTTAACCTTACTGGCCTGGCGATCCCTATAGGGTCCTGACTTAAGAATTAGTAAAAACAAAGGAATACTTGGTTTGAATCATGACAACTTAGAGGACATGCATTTTATGTCATACTTTAACACACCACAAAGACAGATGACCATCATTATGCATGTAAACTCTGCATTCATGCACAGCAAAGAAACAAA